CGCGGTGGCCCCCAGCCCCGGCTGCGCCCCGGCTGCGCCAGGCACTGCAGGCCTGTCCCAAGCAGCCAGGCCGCCAACGCCGGCCCGCAGCCGGGCACCTCCCTCTGCCCCCGCGCGCCTGCTAGCCGTGCCCCGAGAGCCGTGGGGCAGAGAGCTGGCTTGAAGCCCCGAGGCCGGGGGTGCTGTCTGGAGGGGAGCAGAGCCTGATGCCTCCTGCATTAGTCCAGCCTAGCCGGGGCCACCAACCCCAGCAGCTGCCAGGGCCCTGGGGCTCGGGGAACCGCCGGCCCATGTGCCCCGTGCCGGGGGGCTCAATTACCCCAGCTGACCCAGAGCACGCGGCACCTCTGGGCAGATTTGCCCTCGACATCAAGGGGGAAATTGCACCCAATGGAAACAGTGTGGAGATGTGGGCCTCAGGCCCACCGCAGGGTGCTGGAGGATGAGGCAGCAGCATCTGAAGGCTGTGTGAAGGCGCCCAGCAGGGGAGAGCTGTGGGCTGGGAAGGAGCTGAGCCGTCGGTCCGAGCAAGGAGAAAAACACCCGCTGAGGAGAGGGAAGCAGCCGTTGAGTTTACTAGGTAGAACGAGCTCCGCAAGGCAGCCGGCGGAGGGGCCGGGCCTGGGCCCAGCATGCCCACACGGGCCTGGGCAGGGGCGAGGGTAAGGGCACGATCCAGCTGCCTGGCCACGCAGAGCCCCCCCAAAGGCTGCTCTGCCTTACAGCTGCGCTGGGAAGCAGAGAGGAGCCGTAGCACAGGGCCGGCCTCGGTGCAGGGGGGTCTCCAGGGCTGGCTCCTCTCCCAGGGGATTCGGGGGCCATCAGCCCCCACAATCCCCCCCGGGCCCTGCTCCCCAGCTCTTACATGCCCCAGGGCACTGTTCGCAGCTCCCCACCCCCCCTCGGAGACGTGCGCACCCGCACCGGGGACGGCTTTGCGGCCTTCTCCCAGGTGATTCATCCCTGCGCCCCATCCCTGGCGCCGCGCAGCATGTGCATGGTAATGAGGGCCCGGCTGCAGCCGCGCCGGCAATCATGCTGGAAATCTGTTCAATTAGCAACTTTTCAGGGCTATTTATCCATGGCGCAGCTTGGAGCAGGGGTGGGGGAGGGGAGCCCAAGCCAGCTAATTAAGCTGCGTTTGATATGCGTTTTGTCAGAGCACTTTCCGCTGACGAGCCCGGAGAGCTGCTTCCCCTGCTCCCCTTTCTGAGCCAGCTCTTAATATGATGGCAATTAAGGCCTCGTCTGTCCAGGCCCTGGTTGTGGTCCCTGCAGAAGGCGAAGCGCGAGGTGGTAACTGGAGCGGGGACTGAGCCCAGCGCCCAGAGAGGGTCCTGCCAGCTCTGGTACTGTGTCCCCCCGAGCGCTGCGACCGCCCGGCCAGAGAAACGGCCTCTCGCTCCCTTGGAGGCAGGAGCAGGGGAGCCACGGGCCTCCCCAAGGTCACGTAGGGCAGCAGTGCTGCACCAAGCGTGGCCCCTGGTCCCTTCCCGGGGGTGAATGAGGTTTGCAGGGGGCAGCTAGGAGCCCTCTCCCGGCCATCCAGTTTGGCCCGCAGGGCTGCGCCTGATCGGAAACTGGCTTGGAGGGGGCCCTGCTCAGCTCCCGGTGTCTGGAGCATCGCGCCCCAGCTCGGCTCCCCCAGGCTCCTCGAAGACAACGGTGCACAGAGTCAAGCCCGGCTCCATAGGGCTGCGGGCTCCCAAGAGCCCCTTCACTGCAGGCTGCACCCCCCCAGCAAAGGCCCAGCCAGCACCCAGGCCTGAGCTTGCTGCGCAGCCAGGACCCCGCCGGGACGGGCCAGGGCTGGAGGCCGCTCAGGGAAGGAGCTGCACCAATGCTGTCTCAGCTGGGGGCCGAGACCCGGCCTGGGGGGCGTCCCCCGGGCAGGGCTGGTGTAGCTGCCGTGATGCTCCTCCATTCTGCCTTGGAAACTGGGTCAAAAACAAGATCCTTTAATTGCAGCCGGGCTGGTGGCACATCAGGGTATGGGCCTGCGCGTCCTCCCGCTGGTGCCTTCCACCAAAATTTCCCCTTGCTTTGCTGCCGGGGAGGATGGATGGGAATGGCAGGGCTGGCCCTGGCAGATGCACTTGCCCCTCCGGGGTGGCAGGGCTTCGTGGGCTCTTCCCCTGGTCCCTGGCTTCCTGGAAGTGCTGGAGCCGTGGCGGGGGGAGATGCTCATGGAGCGCCACCCCCTCCCTGCCTGCCGCAGCTTCCTCCTGGAAGCCTTTTCAGGCAAATTGTCTGTTATTCCGCACGGTTGCAATGAATAGACGTCTCCCAGGCTGGCACCTGGAGCTGGGACTGGCAGAGGCAGAGCCGAGCAGGAGCAGGGAGGGGAAATAAAAGGACTCATGAAAGGAGACGGAGGGAAGAAGCCGACACCTGATGCACGGGGGAGGAGCTGGCAAGCGGCAACAAACAGCCCTGGGCAGGGGGCGGGGGGTGGGGGGCACGTTGCTCCCGGCACCGGCGTCCTTTATGCGACACTGCTTTCTTGCAGGTGGTTTGGCAGCGCGGCGAGCAGAGATATTGGGGGGGATCCGGGCTAGCTGCCATGGTGGTCGGCTGAGGCGCTGGTCCACCCGTGCCAGCGGGGGTACTACTGGGGGGAGGCACCGGGGCTGATCTGACCCGGCAGAGTGCCAGCGGTGATGACACGGCGTGGCAGGAGGGCTCCTCTGTGCCCTGCATCGCCCAGGCGTTGCCTTGGCACCTCCCAGCGTTTGCAGCTCTGTCCCTGGGGCTCCCCATTGCCCAGGCAGGATGGAGCTGGGTCAGACCAGAGCTACCAGGGTCTACAGCACCCCGGGGGCGAGGGCAGTGAGCAGCGACCCCTTGGCTGCTGCCAGGCAGGGGAGGCACCGCGTGGAACAGGGCACGAGGGCACCTGCCACGCTGCCAGTGGCGAGAACAGCTCCGCAGGCGGCCGTCTGCTAACACGGGTCCCTGTGGCCGAGACTCCAGGCCCGGCTCCAGCCCTGCACTGGGCACCCCTGGGGGGTCGTTAGCGCTTTCTGAAGCTGCCAGTAGAAAGCCTGGTGCTTCGGAGGAGCTGGCTGGGGGCCCAGGCCCTGATCCTGCAGTGGGACTGCCTGGGGGGCTCTGGCACCTGTCCGATCGGGGTTCGGCTTCTGTATCCTGTTATCACGCCCAGCCGTGCAGCAGGGGTGAATCCTGTGGGGTGCTGGCAGGGGCGCAGCACCCGGGTCTCAGGCCATCTGCGGGCCTGGGGAGACACCTTGCTTGCTCCCCCCAGCAGCAGTGGCTCCGTCGCTGGCCCGGGGGGCTGTCCTTGGCAGCCCGGAGCGGCTGAGGGTGACTATTGATGCGGCAGCTTGCACAGGAAGCGAGCGCCGGGGCTTTTGTGCGCTCCGGGCCCCGTGCGCCTTTTGCTGAGCAGTCCCGGCTGGCGCGGGGGCCGCTGCCAAACAACGAGCCCGTGTTGTGCCCCTGCCACTTCATCAGCCGCAGCGATTGACGGCCGCTTCCGCACCGGGGAGGGGTCCGCGCAGCACAGAGGCCGCTCAGTGCCTGGCTGCCCCCCAGGCGGGCCGGCACAGGGCCCTGCCTGTTTGCAAGGCAGCTCCGCACGCCTGCCCCTCTCCTCGCCGGCCCGGGAGGAGCATCCAGCTGTGGCAGGAGGGGTGGATGCAGGGAAGAGGCCAGAACCGGCCTGGCCTGGCCTTGTCCAGGTAGAGCAGTCGCCCAGCAGGGCCCGTGACCCCGGCATCTCCAGCTGGACTCATTCCCCCTGGAGCGGCCTGGCCTGAGCCTGAGCTCCCTGCTCACGGGCAGCCCCAGGCCTCTTGGCTCTATTATACCATCCTCGTTCCGGGGGGTGGGGATGGGAAGCCAGCCCTGCCCTCTCCTGGGTGTCCCTTTCTACCCCGAAGCAGAGGCGATTCCCGGGTGGAGTGGAGCAATCTTGCACCCCAAGCAGGCCCCGGCTGGGCAGGGGTCCTGCACCTTCCTGCTGCCTTTCTTTGGGCTCCTTCCTGACTGTGTCAACTGGCCGAGCTCCAAGGACGGCTCCGGCAGGACTGCGGCTGCAAGAGCCGGGGTAGTCTGGGGAACAGGTTTGAGGGACCCTGTGTTGACCCCCTCTGCAGCCGCGCAGGCTGGGAGCCCAGTTATGGGGCCGGGACCCCCCATCCCCGGACACTAGGAGCCTGTCAGCTCATCCGGCGTCTCCCCCAGCTCCTTGGCAGGGTGGCTGGGTCGGAGCCGACTGCATCCTCCAGCCAGAAACACTGGGGCGGGGAACCTCGCCTTGCTCTTGCCCCCTTGCCCACCTCGACGTGCTGCCTGGCTCCCCCAGCTCCGATGCCATCCCCAGGCAGCCCCTGGAGACAGAGGTTGTTTCACGAGGCTGCTGCATCTCCCTGGAGTAGCAGCAGTGGCCCCTCGGTGCCCGAGCCAGAAGCCTGCCTTGGCCAGGGCAGGCCGGCCGCTCGGGTGGTGGGGTGGCGATGCTTAGAGAGGCTCCAGTCTTCCTGAGACCTGGCTGCCTCCGCTCTCCCCTTCCTGCAGCCAGGGCTGGTGGCGTCTCCTTGCAGGGGCCCCAGAGCGCCTTCCCCCGGGCGCTGGCAGGCAGGGCACAGGGCACGGCCCCTCCTGGAGCACAGCAGGGGCAGGTTTGCCCCCTCCTCCCCCGCTGCTGACCTGCCATCCCCAGGCCCCTGCGGAGCCAGGCTCCATAATTCATGGTGTTGGCCAAACAGGATGATGATAATAATAATAATGCGGCGGCATCTCGCCAGCCACGCTCCACGCTGGGAAGGAGCTCTCCGGAGCAGGGACTAATATCTCCCTCTGGAAAGAGACAGATTAAAGGATATCATTATAATTATCTTATTAGAACCGTGCTGCCGAGGCCACAACCCAGTGCTGCTGGTTCAGGCGGGGACAGGGAGGCAGAGGCCCCCTCCCCACGGCTTGCTGCAGTCCTCTGGGGCCCGAGGTCTGCCAGGCGAGCCGGAGGGGGGGGGCACACAGGGTGCCCCAGGTAGGAGCCGTGGTATCAGGGGCAGGTGAGAGCAGCTCATGGCAGTCCTCAGGGGTCTGCATCTGGCTCTTGCTGCAGCCGCTGCAGCCGTGACCTGCCTGTGTCGCCAAAAGCTGCGCCCAGGCCCCTCCAGCATGGCCGTGGGCTTGGCACCGCAGCCGCAAGCTGCACCTGGCCCTGCGCATGGCCCAGAGACTGCTCCCAGCTGCCTGGGGCCAGGCCGTTCCCCTCCCTGCCCCCATGTTTCCCTGGCTGGGGCCTCTACAGCACCTTGCTGCAGACTCAGCCCCGGGGAAAACCCCCGTCTTAGCAGCTCCAGCCCAGAGCATCTTCAGGGGTGGAGCAGAGCGCGATTTGGGTAAGGCTCAGGAAGTGGGGGCCCAGGCCAGAAGCCCCTCGGACATGGGCTGTCTGCTCAGAGCCCTCGCACACAGCTGCACCCAGCACCGAGCCCTTGGCCGTGGGGCTGGGGGCACTGGAGACGGGCCAGCGGTCAGGGGAGGACAGAGGCGGCCTCATGCCCGAGTACAATCGCTGGCTGAGGGATCCGACCCATCGGGGCATTTCGGCAGTCACCCCCCGGCCTCTGCGCCTCATAGCCCTTCCTCCCAAAACCATTGGCCCGAATAAGGAGAATCCCCCGCTGGCTGTAGGGGGCCCATGACACTGCTGCAAGCCTGCTCTGGGGTGGGGGCTGCTGGCAGCGCACCCAGGCTGGGCTCGGGGGTCCGTGAAGACCCCAGCCCCTGGGGCACCCAGAGGTGCGAGCTGTGCGGGGACCTGGCGGGATCTGCCCGGGCTGCCGGAAAACCCAAAGAGGGGGGTTGCCATGGAGACCAAAGCGGATCCACTTCTCCTCCATGCTCTCCCATGGGGCATCCTTGCTGGGGGGCAGCCCAGACCCAGAGCACCCTGGCATGGGGGCCAGGCCTCTGCCCCCCCGAGGGTTGGGGGCAGTACAGCTGCCTCTGCCCCGCTGGGCAGCACTGCCAGGGAGCCAGCCTGCACCCAGCGCCCGGACGCGGCCTGGCTGGCTCGGCACCACGCGTCCTCCTGCTTCCCCCCCTGAAGCCAGAGGCCCCCCCAGTCCTTGGGCTGCAGCTGGCTGGAAGCCCCTCCCCCATCCTGCCCCCCTCCCCCCTTCGATTCCGATCGCAAATGAAACCAGGTGCCTGCACGCAGCCTCCCCGGTAGGATCTTCCTGCAGCGCCATGAGCCCAGGGCTGAGCACAGCCAACAGCAAGGAAAGGCTTTGCAGGAGCGCGGGGCTGCTGTGGGCAGAAACCCTCCAGCCCCCCGCACCCCGCTTCTGGTGCTGGGCCTGCTGCCACGGGGCTCTGCTCTGCTGGGAGCTACTGGAGGGGCAGGTGGCTCTGCACCAGCTGATGGGGCGGGGGAGCTGGTCCCCGGTGGCCTGCACCGCGTGCACCCGGATCCTCCAGCCCTGGGCCGTGCTGAACCCGTCGGCTCGAGCCCTCTCCCTGGGGCATGGAGCCGGG